ATTCTTAATTGGGCTTCTCAAACTCCTGAGGTTAACTTAAAGCAAGGCTTTTAATATTGACCCTGGTAGACAATTTTCAATTCAGCAACCCACAGTCTTTGTTAATGGAGGGTAAATATGCACATGAACTTCCCAACCCATTTGAAACCCCCCTAAAGAAACATGTAGCGCAGAGCTGGTGCAGAACACAACACTAGAAGCTTTAGGTGAGCCTCATTAAATGGTCTCATCAAAGATTAATTGGCAGGTTTCGCAAACACAGCAAGAAAACGAAGCCGAAGTGTTGTGTTTTTCTGCCTTGAGACAGTGCTTCGCTTTAATTCGATGTGAGAGGTGCAGCAAAAAAGGCTTCCTGAAGTTAAAAGAACTATTGGATCAACTGAAAAGCCCAAGGACATTTACCTCATTTATGTTTACAAAAAGCCCAATTCACTGTAGGTATTGTAAATGCCGGGCATTTAGGGAAAATGTTTCATTGCTTTGTTGCGCACAGCACTTTTTACGCATGCAGAGGTAAACGTTTGTCTGGAACGATTACGTTTTCTCTCTCATCTTGTTTGAAGCAGAAAGCCAAGATGTTAGTCTCGGTGAATATTAACATCTTTATTGTTGTCGAGAACAAACAAAGGCGGCTTGACATTTCAGATCACGAGTAAATCTTTGCTCTGCTGTACTACTGAAGATGAGGCAGGACTCTGAGGTATTACCCGCCTACATTCTGTTCTAGTTTTATCTATTCTTCTGTTAGATATGCAGGAATCTGTAAAAGAACACTGAATGATGTTAAGCCGACCTCCTCAATTATTCAGTGTCTCTCACCAAACATATAGATAGTAAATCAATGGTGATAAAAGAGCATAAGATACCATTTTAGATTCAAAGTACCTTTTGTATTAGAATCTCATCCTCCCTTAGGTGAATGCATAAGTCAGATGGAGAAGCTACGAGGATCCCTGCCGTGTTGGGAATGCCATGTCGAGACAACACAAAGTCTTAAAACACGGTAATTGTGTGCCTTTGAATTATTAGCACCCGGAGAGACGTGGATGGATCTAGAAAGGAGTGAATTTGTTGGGTGCACACAATGGATATCATAGTGAATCGGTGATGTCCCTTCACATCTAAGAGTCAGGGAAATGAAATAAGAGAGTGAAGAAAGGGCGCATGCAAATCATTGGCTGGCAGAATGCCTAATGTGGCATGTATAACAATGTGGCTTCTTCTCCAGCTCAATATGCTCCTATTCACCCATACAGGTTTGGCTACAGGTGACCCGTTTCACAGTTTGGAGGCGCTTAGGGGAATGGAGAGAAACTGAAATGGAGTTTAGAGAGACCAGACAGGGATTCTTCATCCCCAAAAAAGTTTTCTGAAGAGCAATCCCTCCTGGATGTTTTCTTCCTCTAATGTGAATTTTTTTTTCAATACAGTGCTTTATATGCATCAATCCCATGCCACATTTGATCAATTCATCAACATTTTATGTCCTTATTTTCAAAACAGGAGCTGACATCCCCAATTAAGTTTGATATTAACCACCTAATGTAATTTGACAAATAAATGAAAATTCTGTCATTAATTACTCACCTTCATGTTGTCCTCTATTGACAATCTACGCGACTACCACTTTGTGATTCCAGTGATTTAACCTCAATTTCATGAAGCGGCACAAGTGCTGTTTGCACAAAACAAACAAACACATAATTACCACTTTATTTACAAAATATCAATCTCCAACACATTTTAACGAAAGCACCACGACGCATGAGTTGTGTTGACACGAGAACAAAAGTCGTTATGTAAATGCACGTTGAAGATTAATATTTTGTAAATTAACGAATGTCTTACGGGTTTGGAACGACATGAGGGAGAGTAATTAATGACAGAATTACATTTTTGGGTGAACTTACCCTTTAAGCAGCACAACTCTTTTCAACTGTGAAAATAATAATAAATGTTACTTGAGCATAAAATTAGCATATTACAATGATTTCTGAATGATCTTGTGACACTGGAGACTGAAGCAATGATGCTGAAAATTCAGCTTTGTCATCAAAGCAATCTATTAGGCTACATCTTAAAATATATTTAAATAAAAAAAATGTTATTTAAAATGATACATATTTCACAATATTACTGATTTCACTGTATTGATCAAATAAATGGTGAACATAAGAAACTTTCAAAAACATAAAAAATGTTCAATGGTCTTTTATGTAATAAATATGAAATACATTTGAGTAATTGTATACATTTTTCAGGAAAATGAATAAGCAATATAATTGTCTATATAATAAAAAAATTGTTAACAGAATATATTAAATGTATTTAAACAACAAATGTGATAGACTTTTGAGGATATACTAATATTTTATGAAGAAAGAGCCCAATTGTATATTGTATTTTGTCACAATGAGTCAAATTTGGTCCTTTAAATAAAGGCTATCATGAATAGAGTGTTATGAAAAATCACTTGCATTTGTACTGCAAAACCAGGCCTAAGTTTGTGTAAACATTTTTTGTTTTGTTTTTTGGGGGGCATACGGTTGCGTCCACACATTAGGTTCATGGATTGCATTGTGCCTTTGACCTTACAGGGGCCATCTGTGGTTCTTCACTACTAAACACACTTTGGCTTCTTTTGTGCACTGTTTTATCTCTGTTTATTCCTCGGCTGAATAGTGGAATGAACGACTGGAGTTTTGTCAGCATCGATTCAAAAAAGCAAAAAGCAGAGCTTTAGGCCAAGCTGTCAAACTCCAGGGTCAACATAGCTTTCATTCTTAAGACAAGGTCAGAATAGTTCAAAACCACTCGGGCCGCTCAGATTTCACTTTGAAACAGGTGGCTATTTACAGAATGGAATGATTTGAGCCACTCCAAAACACATCACGTTTTGACAAATTTATGGAGACTCGTAGAGAAACGCTGCACACAGTTTTAAGCTAATTAATTCAGTCACTTCTAGACATTTAGTAAACAGTCGCCTCCAATTCACCAGAGAGCATTTGGAGTAGTACTGTGGAGAGAACACCACCCAGATTCATGTCAATATTGACAAATAGTCTATACTCAACTGCATATTTGTAAATTATTCTTGGCAATGACTACAGCTCTTTCCATGGACATTATTGCTGAAAATCCCCACAACCCTCCTGAGAGTTTTCGCAGTCAGTTGGGCGGTGGATAAAGAGCAATAATCCCCCCTTCTCTTCAATCTATCGTTCATTCATTTAAATGAAGGACATTTACAGTATTCACATTTAAATACAGCATTCCTTCTGCATTTCAAAAGGAACATCTATTCTATTCTAAACAGCCATGTATTCATCAAGAATTGAATTACATCAACACAATAGCAGGTGACGTAGCCTACCAGAACTTCGCTATGGAATAACGCAGTAGATACTCAAATGAATTGGATTGAACAAAGGTTAAATGTTTTTCAAACACTCAATGTCACAGAATCCTTGGATGACAAAGCGTCTAAATACAGTTGGAGGCGTACTTGCATATGTGTCTTTAAACTTCTTTGAACGAGTGTGAAATATTTTGTGCAGCATTAGTGCTCGAGACATTCAGTGCATTTAACAGAACAGGACAGAATTTGCATAATGGGTTTTTTCTTATTCTCTTTGAAATCCAGAGTGCGGAATAACAAATGTATATAAAATAGCAGCCAAACATCAATAAATGGAAATGCCACAATTCTCTGTGGATGGTCTTGGGTGGATTTCTGCTGGAGGAGGAAAAACAGCCCGCTTATTGCAAAATAAGCAGAAAAGCGGATGTGATCAAACTCATGCCCACCAGGCTCGCTAATGCGTGCACACGCACACACACACACACACACAGTAGCCCACCTCTCACTTCTTCTAATCAGATGCAGTGAGATGTGGCAGCTCCTGCTGTGGAGCTATGGGAGGAGCAGCATGTCTCACAGGTGCTTTCAAAGAACAAGATACAGCAGTGGAGAGACTGTAATTACTCTCCAATTACAGATAAAGATCTCACTTGAGGGCTGCAACACAAAGTGTCCTAACAGCCATGCAGACCCACTTACACTACGACTCAAAAAAAAAAGTCCAATCAAGAGTGTCTTAGGAAATGTCCTTTGCAGGTACAATGATAATCACCATCATGTAAAGGATGCTTTTTTAATTGTGGTATTCAATAACTAAATAATTATAATACATTTAAGAATGAGACCTTTATACGCATTTTAATTTCACATAGCTTTCTACATTTTTGATCAGAATTTAATAAATAAATCCAGAAGGACTGTGGCAGACTTTTTCACAGTATTGTATATATTAAATACTGATCAAAACTGTAGAAAGTTGTGTGAAATTCAAATATTAAAATGCTTATGTTTGTAACCTTATTCATCATATGGGCAAAACACTTAATGCACATTTTAAAGGAAATCCTTGAAGCGATGATGAGAGCACCAATAAATAAGTTTCATAAATTTCTGTCAAAGTCATTTCAGAGATTACTTTGGGAGACTGGAGTTGATGACTGCTTTTAATGCAAACGTAAAACCCTCAAATCATTTCACAAATACCTTATTTGACATCACTTTTCCTCTGAAGATAAAAACTTGAAATTGTTATCTCTCTTTCCTTGATAACACAAACAGAATAAAAGACAAATAGCTTGTTAATATCTTTAATATTTACAATTTCTTTTGAAAAAAAAAGAAAAAAAGAAAAGAAAAGTATGTGGCATATCCCTCCCCAACCTGTTTCACACAAATCCTGTCTGAAAATATTATTTTGTTATTTTTTCCCCCTAACTTTGTCAACAAAAATAAAATGCATTTGCAAGCTAACTGGAAACTGGCAGTGCTGGATACATAAAAATAATATTTCAAGTGATTTGGTGTAAGAATATCATCTGAATTGACAAAATACAATTAACATTTGACATTTTTGTACCCTTCATGTTTATAATGCGTCACATTTATAATACTTTTTTTGTCATTACATTACCATTGTATTTCAAACTGAAATCCATCCAGACTTCCGTCTTGCCTTGTGAAGTGAAACATGAGCTTTTAAATGTTCTCTACAATACGGTGCATATTAAAAGTGCAATAATGTATATAAAATGGCTCTCTTTATCTGGGTTATCATGGTTAGATCTTGTACAGCATGTGCACAGCAGTTTCCACAGCAAAATGTCCATATCAAATAAAAGCTCTACAAAAATGCTTGTCAGAAGTGAGTTCCCATGTGAGTCCAAAAGTGCGCTAACGTCATCTCTAAATGTGAGCGATGTGATTCGATAAGCAGAGTTTAAGTTTGTGGGGTTTTCAGAATGTGACAGCACCTCAATATCCAGACACAGCTTTGGCTAGAAAAGAGATAAAGAGTAAGAGATGTCAAATGTAAAGAAACAAAGCGAAACAAATATCAATACACTTAAGGGAAAAAAAGGACCCACAAATAAGGGTGTACTAACTAAAGTAACAAATTTGTCAATGTGCTAAAAAGAAAGAAAAAAGTTACAGATGAAACCCATGTTTTGCAAGTACTTAGTCTGTTAAACTCAACTGCCTTTTTTAAATAACATAAGCATTACCTTCAGGGGCGGATCTACCGGGGTGGCGGTGGGAGCTGCCACCCCAAGAAAAATCATTGGCACCCCAGATTTATCCCAGTATAAAAGCTGCACTTGTCATGTGATGACAAAAAAATATCAACACGCACTGTGCAGTCAACTTCCTTAACAGATATGACTCTTATGGTTCTTTTTCATCCACTTTCATCATGCATATATTGTACATCCGACAAAATAAAATGAAACCAATAAGTAGATCCCGATCACAGAAACCAATAGCAGAGTTAGGTAAGAATCTAGTTTGAACTGGATTTACATTTTTGAAAGACAGGTTTTAAATTGGCTTGACAAGGTCTTTTCTTAAAATGTAAAACAGTTTGAAGGTGAGGATAGACAAACAGATGGGTGTTCTGGGTTGTGGTTCAAATGTTGTTGCTATGTGGTTGAGGTTCTGGGTGACCTTCTGTAATGCCCACCACATGCAGACATTTCCACCTCTGTTAAGAAGTCTCAGATCTTTGATATTTAATGAGCTCAGGGACATTTAGAATGAGTTCTTAGTGCCCTGGATATTGATATTTTGTTATTTTGGGTCCAAGCACCAAAGTTGAATTGGATACCTAGTGAATTTATGATGCTAACTAACTACAAATTCTAACCTATCAGCCATTTCAACTGAAAGAAGGTTGTGATATTAATGTTGTCCATAGAGGACAAGGATTATTAGAATAAGGATTATTTTAAGCCTAATGATTTTCTATCAGTTTTCATTACTTAGAATGGGGAAAAAATGCATTGATTTAGTTCATTTGTATAACTATGGTGTACAGACAGTACAGTTTTATTTAATTTGGTACATAGAAATCTGTGAAATGCATATATATTTATCTTTTATAGGCCCCAATAAAAAAATTTTTCAAGTTGCCAGACATGATTAAATATTGCTTCCCATTTAAAACGAAGAAACAATTGTATTTGTCTTTTTCAAGATATTCACTTTCATTTGAAATTGTCCTGTGACATCCTATGACATGTGATTCATCTAAATTGAAATGTTAAATAAGTCCACACTACACATATATTATGATCACGTGCCTTACAACAGTAAACATTTTTAAAGCTGTATTTTTTACTTCTTGTTTAATCTAACAGTATGAGAGTGATTTCCTTTGAAAGTCAGTTGCCCTTTTGACACATGTGTGTTGCTGTAACCTGATTCATCAAACCCTAACTTTCAGTGAAGATTAAACTTTTCTGTAAAAACAACATCATAAGATTCATTTTAATTGGACTGCTAATCATCCACATGGGCCATTGGTGCTTGGACCCTGATGATTGCCTTTTGTGGTTATATTTTGATTTTAACTATAGCAGATGTAGTATAGATGATATAGTATAATTTAAGTATAGATGATTGAATGCTTGTTTGCTTTGGTGTTGCCACCCCTCACTGTCCTCTTGCCACCATATAAATCATTTTCTAGATCCGCCCCTGATTACCTTACTAAATAGCAGACAGGTAAACACTCCACTCTCCTTCTTTCAGTGCAACATATTACATAAAGACAATGTTGAGCTAAACACACTTCAAACATGCATGTGCATGACATGCATCATGCAGCTCAATTTCATTCAAATGCTGCTGAAACAGCAGAATAACACAGGCAGCTCAGGCATTCAGTGATTAAATGGACTGGCTAATAAACGTATAAAATGTACAGCTATGAGGTGACTCGAATCTCTCGTACAGTATAATCATGGTGCGGTCCACAAATAAAATATAAAACTGGGTTTAAGACTTAAAAAATTAAGATTTTTTTTGAAAAAAATGATCTGAAAAAGGAGATTTTTAACATTCAGAAAAGTTTATTGTTAACCTAATACTCAGAGTATTAGTAGACTGTCTGCTTAATATCTCCTAACACTTTATTTTAATGGTCCCTCAACTGACATTCTACAGACTATAACTTTGCAAGTACGTCAACTTATTCTACTAACCCTAATCCTATACCTAACTATAAGCTACTAATAGTTAGTGAACGGGGGGATTGCTGTAAGGCTTCAGGTATAAGGTAAAATGATCTACTTTTGATGCTAGGTTAATTTAATTGTTAGATAATGGTTTATGTAATAGTTCTCATTGCAAACAACAAGACATTTGAGCCTTTAACACCTTAAAAAAAGTAATGGGACCCAAAAGTGCACCGTATTTGTGGACAGTGCCTAGTATATAAAACAGCTCACGGCAGGCATTTGTCAAATGAGAAGGCATGGCAATGCACTGATTTAGGGCATGCTGGGAAGCAGAAGACACAAGGCAGGCCAAAGTGGAACAGACATAGTGAGCCATTCACACTTTTTCATGCACTGAAACAGCTTTGTAAAGAAAAGCACATCTAAAGTACTTCTAAAGTTTTTACGAAACCCTGACTGCCATTCTGTTCTTTATTTCAGTCACACACATCAAAATGGCGAAGCTCTTTGCAGATGGCAAAGCAAGTGTTGTTTGGCAACACAACGATAAGTGCTGCCTCCGTGATTCCCAGAGTCTTTGTTAATTACAAACATTTCACAAGACAGCATTTGTTTATGGCTTTTTAGGCTTATCAGTACACAAAAAGCCAATTTGCACACAATTTACACACCTCTCTATCTCCAGATGTGGAGGCAGTTGTTAGAGGGGGGCCAATCTACACTACTCATGAAGTTACTAGTACAGCACAAGCCTTGATGAAGCACAATCATGCAGCATGCAGACAGAAAAGGTGTCAAAAACACACACGGAAAAATTAGCAAAAGCACATTAGCGTGCTAAGCGGTTAGTTCTTACTTTGTTTTTTGTTTTCTCTGATTAGACAAAGGTGTAGTGAAATCCATTGCTCAGGGGAGGGGGAGCAGACTGAGCCGTAGAGACGGCAGCAGGAGTGGGGGGAGGAAGAGGAGGAGGTGGAGGAGGTTGAGGGAGTGAGGTGGGACTGTTAACCGGCGGTGAGGCTAAAGCAGAAACAGGAACAGAGGGGTGTACAGTAGTAACACAGAGAGCTAGTGACACAGTTAACTGCTGCTACATAATACAAACAGCTTTTTGTAGGTACATAAGACTGGTCTGAGGTCATCAACGTGGTCAAACTTAAAATGATAGTTCATCAAAAAAAATAAAAATCCTCATTTACTCACCTTCATGTCATTCCAAACCTGTATGACTTCCATTCTAACAATGTGTAACGCAAAGGGGGACCTTTTAAACAATGAGCTGTACTGGTTGCTCTTGCTTTCAAAAAGGAAGTAAAAAGCACAATAAATGATCATAAAAATGGACTGTATGATTTGCGAGCTTAATACAAAGTCTTTTGAAGCCATACAATAACTTTATGTGAAGAACAGGTTCAAAATCTTCTGCAGAAGCTCTCATTGGCACATTCATGAGAGAAAACCAGATTGAAAAAAACAAAACAATTTGTGTTAGAATTAGCCTACTTAATCAAACATGACAAAAAAGTATTTTACATTGTTACAAATATTTCCGTTTCTACTTCAAATAAATGCTGTTTGTCGGAACTTTATTCAAAGAATCCTAAAAAAATATATCAGGATTTCCACGAAAATGTTAAGCAGCACAACTGTTTTCAAAATTGATGTAATAAGAAATGTTTCTTGAGCACCAAATCAGCATATTAGAATTATGTCTGGAGAATGATGTGCCATCAAAGGAATACATTACATTTTAAAATATATTAAAAACTTATTATTTTAAATTATAAAAAATATTTCAGAATATTACCTTTTTTACTGTATTTATGATCAAATAGATACAGCCGTGGTGAACATATGAGACTTTTCAAAACATATATATATATAAAAAAAAAATCTTACTGATCACAAACTTTTGAACAGTAATGTATTTTCAGTTCACCAAACTGAATGATCTGGTTCTCGAGTTCAACTCACTGCAGTGGTTAACAGAATATTCTCACCAAATAATGACTTACGTTTCGGTCATCTAAATCCAAAAGATATAGCACACAAGTCTCATGGACCACTGACGGTGCTTTTGAAACCTTTTTAAAACATGAAATCCCAAGTGCTCATAGGCACTAACTCCTCCTTTTGGTTCCATGTTAGAAATAAAGTCATATAGGTTTGAAACGATATTAGGGTGAGTACATTTACATGTTTGACAAATTATTCCTTTAACCAAGGTAGTCTACCAGCTTTAACCAGGTTGACCTTGGTTGATGTTGGCCTTTCTTCAATTTTTATTGATAGAACAGACATGACATAAAACAATGTTGCAAAGAGGGTTAGTGGAACCAGGCGATGTCACAAGCCAACGCGTGTTACCCTCATGTGCACAACAATATGCTAAGAGAATGCACTGTAAATATCAGAAGTTGAGAAAACTTGAGGCAACCAGCTTCAGGACAACTGACATTTTTGTATCAACATAAAGTTGCCCAAACAATATAAGTAGTTCTGTAAACTCAAAATGAATAATGTTTTTACTTGTGGATCCCAAGTTTTACATTACATTAAGCTGATCATTAATATTGCACAAGTAACATAAAACTTAGTTTGTTGTATCAGTTTGTTGAACAAACTGAAAAGGTTATACTTCTATACACCGAAACAAGTCGTACTCATTGAAATGGAAGAAACTTCACCAAAGAGAACACTTATCACTCTGATGGTGACATTAGTTTAAATTGTACAGCAAATAAATAATTAAAAACACCAAATAAAGCTAAAACTATTATTTCTGAAAAACTAATATTTTTGTCATCACATGCTTTGACTAAAAACACAATTATTCAAGTGCATCATCAGTGATCAAACTGAGCATGCTCAGCAGCCTGTTAGTTGGACTCTCACAACCAAACTTGACATTGTAAGTTCTTGCTGTTTAATATTTTAAGTTGCTCATACTAACCAGCGTAAAAACGGTCAAAAACTGTTTGTCACTTTTTCTACATTCAATAGTTCATTCAACTTTTAAAATAAAGTTTCTTTAACAAAAAGAAAGTTTTTTATATTTACTGTTTGCTTAAAGGCCACAGCTCTGACTACTTTAGTCTTTACTCAAAATAAATGCACAATGATGTGCAGAAGTTGATCAAAACCCAGACCTGCCTTCACAGATGAGGTATTCTGACATGTTCTCCAATGATAATTGTTGACTACGCCATACTGTCTTACACATTATGATCCATCACGTCAGGACGAATTGACTGCAAATCTGTGTGACTAAGAGAGACACGCTGCTCTCTGTCTGAAGGTTAGACCTGGCAGAAGTGAGTGAGGCCTCTGTAAGAACTAAAGATGAAACGATGCTGTGCTTTTATGCCATTTCAGAAAGATGTTCAAAGTGCTGCCACGGGATGCAGTGAACAAGCCCCAGTGCATATTCAACTGGGTCATTGATCGGCTCTGAGAAAATGCCCTCATCAAGAGATTCCTCCCAGCCTGAAAGATCCGACATGTCTCCCAATTAGCAAGCATCTTTACTCGTCAGATCTGCGCTAATAAGGAATAATGTTCAGTTATTAACGTTGCGGTTGATAGGCTTGGCGTTGCTCTTTCTTCTTCCTCATCACGCCTCCATTACCGATGTTTTGAAACGGGGTGGACCGTTTCTCAGAGCGTTCACAGTTATTCCGTAGTTGTCAGAGTGACGGTTTAGGAAGTTTTATTGGCACTGTCAGATTAGAATTACAAATAACTGTTTCTGAAGGGTTTTCTTCACATTGACCTTGATCTTTTCAGAGTATTTGAACTGTCAAGGTGTACTGCAGACCATATCTGAATTTAATCTATTCAAATGGAGCTCTGGCAGTCATACAAGTGTGAAGTGATTGTATGGTTATTAAGGGCTTCTCATTCATCTTCCTTAGCCTATCTTAACACACACACTGTGCACTCCCTGTCCTTGTACTTGCCATTTAACATGATTTGTGCTTTTCACAGTAAGTTATTACTGCTAAAAACATAAATGTGAATGTACAGTCTGTGATTTGACTAATAAATGCCATATAAAATACAGGATGTGTTTCCATAGAATATGGAGTGTATTAACAAGATACAAGTCATTTGAGGAGATCAATTCTCTGTGTAGAACAGTAATCCTCCTGGTTAGTTTACCTGCCACTTGTTTGCTCTTGAGTGAGGCCTCTGATGCTAAGGCATAGGACATGGTGATGATTCTCTCCTGCTCTTGTAGAGCAGAGTCTATGTCTGGAAGCACTGGCTTGTCTACTGCTGCTGGAGGAGGTATATTCTGAACACTTATGTACACACAGACACAAAAACAAAAAAACAGGTACACCAGAATGAACTCACAGAGAAAAGTGTAACAAATTTTTTCTCAGCATCAGCAAGGATTGAATTGATCAAAAGGCACAGTAAAGATAAGCATACGATTTCTATTTCAAATAAATGCTGTTCTTTTGAACTTTCTATTCATCAATGAATCGTGAAAAATCACACAAAAATATTAAGCAGCACAAGTGTTTTACACACTGATAATAAGAAATACCCTTTGCACTAATTGTATAGGGCCACTGCAAGATAATGCTGTGCAATATGTTTACATGCAATACCTAATTTCTACGGTGGCCCAGTAGTGCACAACACAACGAAATTTAAAAAGCAAACATAAGTTCACAACACAACGAAATGAAGCCACAACACAACGAAATGAATCCACAACACAACGGAAATGAGCCACAACACAACGGAAAATGTACAACACAACGGAAATAAGCCACAACACAACGGAAAATGTACAACACAATGGAAATTAGCCACAACACAACGGAAAATGTACAACACAACGAAATAAAGCCGCAACACAACGGAAATGCTCCTCACCAGAGGGCTCTCGGAGTGCGATAAAGTTAGTTTTCTTTGCCATTGTTATAGAGTTAGCAGAGTCTTAATATATCAATACCATGATTAGTTTTAACAGTATTGTAAATCGACATAAAATATACTTCAAAATCACCTACACAAGCGTATTTATACTCGAGAGAATGCTTTGACGCGCTACCACAGCGCATGCTGCCTAAGGGAACGTCTGGCAATTCCACCAAGTGGTTAAAACGTATAATTTATTATAATATAATTTGATGAATAAAAATATAAAACATTTGGTGAATTGCAGAATTACAGGAAGGCATTGGCACAATTTCACCAGTAATAAGTCAGTCAGGTCACTAGGAACCTAACACAAGCTTTGGGACATTACAGTAGGCCTAATGTTTCTATAAAAAACAAATTGTGTACTGTGCATGCAGGGGGCTATTGACAAAATTTCACCTGTTTTAAGGTTAATAGGAACTACAACCTTTGAAACCTGATAAAAGAAAAAAAAAAACTTTTAAAGAAATTTCCTAAAAAAATATTTGTTTACTGTAGGCTATATACATGAAGGGAGGTAGGTATTGGACAAACAGTCAGCTGTAGTAAGTCAGTCTACTACCAATACAATCAAGCTTTGGATTTTGAACATGTATGTTTTTGAATGTTAAAAGTAATTTTAATTAATACAAATGATACGTTTAAACAACTTGAAGGAATTGGCAGATGTTCCCTAAGGGTTACGCTGTGGTAGCGCGTCAAAGCATTAGATTGTAAATATGCAGCTATAATGCAGTAAATGTAATAATGTAACTTATAATTAATAAATGTAGTTACAATGTTTAGCTATACTGTTAAAACTAATCGTGGTGTTGATATTTTTTAGACTGCTGAATGAGTGCTGACTCTATAGAACAGTGGCAAGGAAAACTAACTTTATCGCGCTCCGAGAGCCCAGTGGTCGGGAGCATTTCCGTTGTGTTGCGGCTTTATTTCGTTGTGTTGTACATTTTCCGTTGTGTTGTGGCTTATTTCCGTTGTGTTGTACATTTTCCGTTGTGTTGTGGCTTATTTCCGTTGTGTTGTACATTTTCCGTTGTGTTGTGGCTTATTTCCGTTGTGTTGTACATTTTCCGTTGTGTTGTGGCTTAATTTCGTTGTGTTGCGGCTTTATTTCGTTGTGTTGTACATTTTCCGTTGTGTTGTGGCTTATTTCCGTTGTGTTGTACATTTTCCGTTGTGTTGTGGCTTAATTTCGTTGTGTTGTGGCTTAATTTCGTTGTGTTGTGAACTTATGTTTGCTTTTTAAATTTCGTTGTGTTGTGCACTACTGGGCCACCGTACATTTCAGTTGCCAAAGTTATTGTACTGAATTTTATTATACTTATTGTGTCATAGTTGTACAGTACCTATTGCTGTTGTGCTGTTATGCTTTTATGTGTGGATGCACCGTAACTAATTTTGTTGTATTTTAAGCAATGACAATTAAAGGGAAATTAATTGAAATATTTATTGAGCATTAAATCAGCATTATGTGATGCTGAAGTCTGTTGAATATTCAGCTTTGCAATCACGAGATTAAATCACATTTTAAACAATTTAAACAGAAAACTGCTGTTTTAAATTGTAATAGTATTTCACAATATTACAGATTTTACTGTATTTTTTTAATCAAATTCATGCAGCCTTGGTGAACATAAGGGACTTCTTTCAAAAACATTAAAAAATCTTACCAACCCCAAACTTTTGAATGGTGGTCAATAGAGGGTATGCATGTGCCGTCACCGTCGGCCGGAGTGACTGCTGTAACGCGCAAACATTGGTTTTCAGCATGAATGCCACGAAACACACACAAAAACACATCTAAAACGGGAAAGAGCTTTGAGATTAATTGTATAGATAGATCTGACAAGAAATCTGAGGTATATTTTTACCGACTGCAGGAAGCTACAGAAAAGAGAAGCAAATGGATCGCTGCAATTCACAGAAACAACTGGACTGAATCTTGGTGTAAAATAATACCCTATATATTGTATTGTTATATATTGTATTGACAACTCATCAATTAAACATTTACCATCATAAATTCTCAATAAGTTTTTAAATAAACACAGTTTTAGGGCTGGACGATATGACGATATATATATATATAAAACATTGATAAACGATCACCCGGATTTAGCCCTACCTATATTATATTTATATAAAGCGTTCACGGGCAAATTTTCTTTATGCATTTTCCCGGGGTCGAAATCAGGCACATATAAATGTCAGGAAACACGATTTCTGGCTGCATGTCAATATCCATGGATCACTGGATCTTTGGTAAGTTGTAAGGAACACTATATCGAGTCTAACGTTTAGTTTAAACTGAAAATCATTTGTTTTACTCGCTTTGTTTTCCCCAATTAAATCTAGTCATGCAGCAGCTCTTTTGCCACTCAGTCCAGCTGAGGGGGCGTGTTCCGGCAGGAAAGTGACGTCAATGCATACCCTCTATATAATGTCAAGAAAACATCTATAAAGATGACTGTGTTAAATGAGACTGATCTGTCAGTACCTAGACTTAGCCAGGATGCTCTTGATTCGTTCCACTTTACGATGCCGGGCCTCCATCTCCTGAGGGCTGAGGGGCTCTTCTGGATCCATGTCCACATAGCGCTCAGGGATGGCCACCTTTTGAGGCTTTGACAGCTATACAGGCATTGAGACCAAACATTCCCCATCAATCACTTTAATCTGAAATCTATTGTCCATACTTTTATTTGTAATATTTTCTTTACTTTATTAATTTTTCATTCTTGTAAAAAAAAAAAAACTTACATTATGTATAATATGAAACTATAAAAGGCTAAACAATTGCTGTAAAATAATGAAACTTTTTTTAACATTCAAGTGTACTTTGCAACGGTTACTGAGATTGCCCTTTAATTAAACTCAGGATAGTTCAACCAAAAATGAAAATTCTGTAGTACTTTAGAAAAGGAAAATGTAGGCAAATTTTAAGAGGCTGCTCACTGCAGAGCCGATGGGTGGACCTCGACGTTCAAACCACACCCTAATTCTACCCATAACCCTATCGTTAAGCATAACTCCAGCCATTAGGTCCATGGAGGTGGAGCTGGACATCATACGGCTCTGCAGTGAGCACCACTTGCATTTTAACGGACTCAACATTTGTGGTCTCACTCAACATTCACTTTTTGTACATACAACACAAGTGCATTTTCTGATTCAAACAAGGAGGAAATCATGTCAGAATTTTCATTTTTAGGGGAATTCTCCCTATTAGTAGTATGGTACCTCTTTGCTGAGGTCCAGCTGGTAGTCCAGAGGCTCCAGATCCAACTCTCTCATGGGTGTGCTACTCAGGGTAAGCCATTCGTCTGAGTGAGAGCGCTGTCTCTCTTTGTGTTCGACTGGTCTCTCCTCACCCTGCACGGCCCGCTCCAGTAGCTGCAAATCAAAGTCTTGCTCTCTTCTCCACTGAAGGCACACAAACACACAGAGCCCTGAGACAGCCAATCTAGACCTTACACACATCCAACTCAGGACATGAAAATTTTAGTTCTTCTCATGATTTACAGGACAAGAAAAATGTAAAAAAAAAAAAATTCCCAGTTACACTGTGTAACGCTCAAGAGATCTTAACTATGGAGAAAGGATTTTTCTCTGAACCTTAGACACTATTAAAGCTAAAATGACCTTTGTGCTCCACATATCAGTTTACATCCAACATTCATTCTTTACATGAAAAGTTTAAAGAGGGCAGCCCTGCACAAAAACAACACACAAAACTTGGTTAAACTGCAACCATGAGCATAATTACATATTGTCCCAGTGCGCTCCTGTACCTCTGTACCATGTAAAAGTGATTGGAGTGATTGCGTCTGAAGTGTCACATGTTCAAGCTCTCAAACCGTAGCGTACAACACTCCTGCAGACCAAGAAAAATGCAATAAAAAGCTCCATCTGCGACTTCATTTACATGCTTCATTCCCAGGCTTTATTGTGCTTACTGGAAAGAAAATAAATCAGTGTGTCGTGAAATAAACTGCGGTTTCACATTCACAGTTGACAGAAAAAGAACAATTACCTCCTTTTGCTTTTTTACTAGCAAAGTGTTTATTTTCTTGTGCAAAAATCTACAAAAAAGACAGAGGAAATTGCTGTGCAATTGATTTTCTCTTTGCAAATTATGCTACAATTCGCCGTTATATTATTATGACCATACAAGTGATTAAAAAACATGTTCAGTAAGTAGTACAATTATAAACAACTCATTCATACAATCACCCAGGCCAATACATTTTGGTAAAACAAGGAGTAAAATTATTAAATTATTAAAAAAATAAAATAACAAAAGCCAGGGTAAGTTAAACCAGCTCTGGTTTTGTAAAATTAAATGCAAAATATGATCATGTCATTTATTCTGTACAAAGAAGGCCATAACTTGCCTCAAGTCAGATCCAAATTGCATGAAAAAAATATATATATATTTTGCAGGTTTTGGAAGAATTGTTATTAGAAAGCCGGATGTGAAAAGTGAAATTTGGTGAAATTAGTATAAGTAGTATGTATAGTATGAGTGAGGTAAGCACAATATAGTCTGGTTTCACACTTTAGTTATGCTATAATTATTATGGTTGAGTGATGAACAGCTAAAAGGCTTGAGAGCTTGCTGTGCTTGAAATTTAGTTTAGTATATGAGTCCACTAATACAGCAGACATTGTTTCCCATAACTTTTGAGCATTGGGTTATTGTTATAGAGGTTAAAAGAGCATTTGGATGTTAGTGCTGCCTTTGGCCTTTTCATACACCCCCCCCCAACCCCCCAAGTAAAAGCACACTACTTTGATTCACTATTCCAGATGAACTGCTCCTTTGAGATCCATGTCCCAAGTTTAAAATTAAACACTCATATAAGTCATTAAAACATTTTGAACCTGTAATGAGACTCAATAGCACATCAGCTTTCATTTTTAATCCTCTAAACACATTAGCCCATGTCTTTCATTGGCAAATAGTATAACTCCCATATGTCCTTATTCTGTAGCCCATCCATGCGGCCCGACAACATATGATAAAATCTCTCCCGTCTCCTTCTGTAACACCTCCCACAAACCCACTTAAATGCAGCAGACACTACTAGGGTAAAATGCTGATCGCATTAACGCAAAATTTTACAGTTCTCCATCAAAACAGTGTAAATAGCTGAATGTACATTTATGTCAGGGTGATAATCCTCTCTGGAAGAAAACATGTCATTGTGCTCTAACGTACTGATCCCAGGTCTGCAGACACGGGTCTGGATGCAGAGGAGGAGGAGGAGGAGCGAGATGTGGAGGCCTGCCGCTCGCCCTGGCTGAGCGTTCTCTTGCGCTCCCGTACGAGAGCCTTTTGGTGACGCTTCATCCTCTCCAGCTGCTCTTCGGCGCTCATGCGTCCGCGCTGCTGCACGATCTCCCCAGAGTACAGCCGCTCCAAGGCACTCTTTGGTCTCTCCTAGGAGACACCAGAGGATGTGTTAATAATGCTGAAAGAAACCGGACCAAAGCAACAGCGGGGAGAAAAACATGCATCACTGTTTCCTCAAAAATATTAAACAGCATTTTCAATATTGATAATATGAAATGTTTATTGAGCAGCAAATCAGCATATTAGAACGATTTCTGAAGGATCATGTGACACTGAAGACTGCTGAAAATTCAGCTTTGCCATCGCAGTAGTAAAAATTGGTAATAAATTGTAATGTTTCAGAATGTTAATGTTTCTACTGTGTTTTTGATCAAATAAATGCAGCCTTGGTGAACATAACAGACTCCTTTCAAAAACTTTCCTTTAAACCTTTTCCTTTCAAACTAAACTTTTGAACAATAGTGTATATTTAATCACAATACATTATATATTTTGGAGACAACTTAATTTAATTGACTTTGTATGATGTGTTGTTAATGATGTGTGAAAAAAAGAAAATAAATCAAGTAGAAGAGTCCATTTCGAAGCTCTGCTGTGCTCATTTCTGTTAACATTTTCTGCATGAATCCATCCGGGTTGGAGACACACACTGTGTTCACAGTCTGGATGGCAACACTACGGCAGTAAACTCATTCGCAAAGTACAGTCTGGCTCAAGCCCACACTGGCTGCTTTTATTTCATGTGCTCAGCAGTTTGTACTTCTGCTGCATCTAATCAACCTGCCAAAGCAAACTATGAGAGACCCTTTATGTCCCTCTGCCTCTCAATAGACACTTTCAGGACTTGTTTGGCTTCCTACCTTCAAGCTTGTGGTGGTGAGTCCTCTTCTAATGGTGACGAACGATGAAATGTTTGATGACTGGTTCAGTCTTGAAGATGAGCTAGTCAGACCTAACAGAAGTTGGACTGGATTAGACAAATCTTTCAGACCATCTCAAATTCTGAGCTGAGAGATCATACTTTTAAACATCAAACATCACTGACCACTGAGTAACCTGAGCCTTCACATTCACATTCACACTTGGTACGCAATTAGGCAAGCGTGTTTCTTCAGCTATGGGCACTTTTGTCCCTGTGGACACTATTAAAGCACAATTGTTTTTAGTAGTTTTAATTTGCCTGCTAACAATGTCCAACAGCATTCAAAAGTTTGGGGTTGGTAATATTTTTAATATTTAAAAAAAAAAAGACTCTTATGTTCACCCAGGCTGCATTTATTTGATCAAAAATAAAATAAAAACCGTAACATTGGGACATATTGGAGTAAATTAAAATAACTATTTTTCTATTTTTAAATGTAATGTTATTCCTGCGATGGCAAAGTGTCTCATGATCCTTAAGAAACCATTATATTATGCTGATTTGATGCTCAAGAAACATTTATTATTATTATTAATGTTGGAAAAAAGTTGTGCTGCTTAATATTTTTGTGAAAACCATTATTCTTTTGGATTATTTTGGAAACATTATACAAAGGATTCTTTGATAAATAGAGAGTTCAAACGAGCATTTGTTTGAAATAGAATTTATTTGAAATTGATTTAATGCATCCTTACTGAATAAAAGTACTAATATCTTTAAAAAAGATATCTTACTAACCCCAAACTTCTGAACGGTAGTATCGCTGTATCAAAGGAAAATTCTGTCATTTTTTTTCTGAAAGTCATGCACATTTTCACCTCAGTATAATTTCACATCACATCTCAAATTATGTATTGTGTTTAACAGCATTCTTTGAAGAAAATGATGGTGGTGGAAATTATATTGTTCACCTATTTGGCTCTTTTGCACTTCGTAATGTTAAGACTAAGTTCACATTCACAACATCTTATGTAGCCAAAACGCATTCATTAATATTTACACACTTGAAATTCTCCAAATGGGAATTATGGAAAATGGGAAGCACCTGCACAGGCTATAAAGCAAATATACATTATAATGAATTAGTTGTTAATAATTAATAATATTACTTGCGGATTGTTTTCACATCACCAATGACATGTACTGTGGTTTACATGAACCAAACCTCACATTCCCTTTTCAGCGAGTGTGGTAACCTTGTGCAAACCTGAGTCTGACTGTGTACAGGTCTGTGTGTACCTCTGTTTGGTAGAGTTTGGTAGCCACTGTCACGGCTCAAGCCCCCCATTTGTCCACCAACTGCCAGCAGTTCAGGCTCACTGAGGAATGCCCGGATCTCAACCTACAGTCCCAGAAGAATAGAGCTCAGAACTATAATAACATTTAACCACTAGCACCTAGCACAGATGACAGCTGGCCTTATCCGGGTGCCATTGAGTGTCACAAACCTTATGATCTCCGTTAGTGTACTGCCCGATCTCACGGTCACGTTTCCGCTCATCAGACTGTCGTTTCAGGCCCCTGACTGATGTGTGGCGGATGACGGAGGTCTCTTTGGGGAGAGGGGGAACAGCTGGGGGGTGTTCATCTGGGCTGTAGAGGTGAGGCAGGGGGGGTCTGGGTGGAGCATCTTCCTCAAGCTGCATATGTAAACATAAACATCCATAAATACAGATAAATAGAATAAAGTAGTATCTTGATTACCTAGTTTCACTCACTCACTCACCCATTGTTGCTTGTGGGCTGGGTTTGAGAGCTGCAGGGGCTGCTGGGTAGACTGCACCGGGCTGAGATGGGGACTGGACTGAGCAGCTTTCAGTTCACCCATGGATGGAGTGAAGAGTGAAGGCACTGCGGACAATGACGCCGAAGGCACGAGCTTCCTCTCTGGGACACGCAAATATCCCAAGCGTCGACATCACAAAGCAAAAAACAACAACACATGTATGATTATCAGTAGCATTTGTACGCAGTAAGATGCATGTGGTGATGTTTGACCTCAGTACCTCGGTCTGTGCTCCAGTGCATGGGAGTGATGGCAGGCAGGGGCCCGCTCTCACCTGGATTACGCACAGAGTCAATGGTCACTCTGTAGTTGGCTTTGCTGGAGCTCAGGCCTGCAAGCACGTCCTCGATCCGCCACAGCTCCTTCCTCAGCTGAGATTTCTCCTGCTGCACAGTAGCACAGAATTTAATAATTTTGGATGAAATAAAAGAGTCCAACTATTAAACAGAATAAACTGAATAAAAGAGTAAATATAAGCCTGAAACAGGAGGGAATAGAATACAAGTGTGCATACTTCAGTACATAATTATATGGATTACATTTAATTAAATAATAAAACTGAATATATTATTTGATATGCATATATACACACAAATTAAGCTTATTTGAACAGAAAAATGCATATATATATATATATATATATATATACACTCACCGGCCACTTTATTAGGTACCCCATGCTAGTAACAGGTTGGACCCCCTTTTGCCTTCAGAACTGCCTCAATTCTTCGTGGCATAGATTCAACAAGGTGCTGGAAGCATTCCTCAGGGAGTTTGGTCCATATTGACATGATGGCATCACACAGTTGCCGCAGATTTGTCGGCTGCACATCCATGATGCGAATCTCCCGTTCCACCACATCCCAAAGATGCTCTATTGGGTTGAGATCTGGTGACTGTGGAGGCCATTTTAGTACAGTGAACTCATTGTCATGTTCAAGAAACCAATTTGAAATGATTAGAGCTTTGTGACATGGTGGAAGTAGCCATCAGAGGATGGGTACATGGTGGCCATAAAGGGATGGACATGGTCAGAAACAATGCTCAGGTAGGCCGTGGCATTTAAACGATGCCCAATTGGCACTAAGGGGCCTAAAGTGTGCCAGGAAAACATCCCCCACACCATTACACCACCACCACCAGCCTGCACAGTGGTAACAAGGCATGATGGTTCCATGTTCTCATTCTGTTTACGCCAAATTCTGACTCTAACATCTGAATGTCTCAACAGAAATCGAGACTCATCAGACCAGGCAACATTTTTCCAGTCTTCAACTGTTCAATTTTGGTGAGCTCTTGCAAATTGTAGCCTCTTTTTCCTATTTGTAGTGGAGATGAGTGGTACCCGGTGGAGTCTTCTGCTGTTGTAGCCCATCCGCCTCAAGGTTGTGCGTGTTGTGGCTTCACAAATGCTTTGCTGCATACCTCGGTTGTAACGAGTGGTTATTTCAGTCACTGTTGCCCTTCTATCAGCTCGAACCAGTCTGGCCATTCTCCTCTGACCTCTGGCATCAACAAGGCATTTCCGCCCACAGAACTGCCGCTCACTGGATGTTTTTTCTTTTTCGGACCATTCTCTGTAAACCCTAGAGATGGTTGTGCGTGAAAATCCCAGTAGATTAGCAGTTTCTGAAATACTCAGACCAGCCCTTCTGGCACCAACAATCATGCCACGTTTAAAGTCACTCAAATCAACTTTCTTCCCCATACTGATGCTCGGTTTGAACTGCAGGAGATTGTCTTGACCATGTCTACATGCCTAAATGCACTGAGTTGCCGCCATGTGATTGGCTGCTTAGAAATTAAGTGTTAACGAGCAGTTGGACAGGTGTACCTAATAAAGTGGCCGGTGAGTGTATATATATATATATATATATATATATATATAAATAATGTCAATCAGAATATATAAATGCTATTCAAGTGCATAGACTATTGAAAATGAATGTCTGTCTTTCAGTATTCAGATCATTAATATAATATAATATATAATTAATATAATATTAGAACAATATTTTCAACAGAAACGGATGAAAAATCTAAATTAAACAACAGCTTAAAAATATAATATAATATGATATAATAGAATAGAAGTACTTTCTTACTGCTGTGATCACTGTTCAAAAAAAATATGACCCTGAGGCTTGTCTTTGATTTTCTAAGAGGCAAATTTAGAGCTCAAAGGGCCACTGAAGAAAGGATATGATTTTCTCTTATTTGTATTTTCAGAACAAGCCATAATTTATTGACTCTGTCTGTGTGCGCTCTCACACAAACACTTGAGAAATCAATAATCTTAGACACGGTATGCCTTGTTCTTAAGACTCTATCACGCTGATCAAAAACTAACATTAGATCTTCACTCCGCCTCTGAGAGCTCCATATCTCTTTCATTACTTTGTTCTTTCTCTATCAATTACCGGACTGAGAGGTGCATGCTGAATAGAAAAGGAGACACGGTTTAACATCTTTTGATACATTTTGCTCAAACAGTATTGATACTTTAGTTTGGAAGCATGCATTAAAGGGATAAAAGCTGAAATACAATTTTGGGTTTGAGTAAAGAAAGACCTCTGTCCTTCATTTACATTTTGAAAAGTGTTAAATCAGCCTGGTGTCATTTTCCTCTGGGTCTGACCTGAGAGAGAGCACTGTGGGTCATCTGGTCTTGAAGGACTGAACGCAGTCTGTCCACATCTCTCTCTAAGTGGTTGTATTCTGCCCAAGCGTTCTCCATCTCCTGTTTAACAAAGAACAGAAGCAAGCCTCAATACTAGTGCAATAAGCTGATATTAGTATTGCATTGATATTCTTGAGTCTTCTGTCAGTGTATGGACACGGGTGTGTGTCCTCACCGTGGACACCTGTGAGATGTCCGCCCTGATGTGGACCACATCCTCCCGTAACAGCTTCTGCTGATAGGCGATCTTCTCTGCATGGGCGGGCTGGTCCTGGTACTGTTCCATCTGCTGATGGGAAACATCCAGAACTGACTCGAGCTTGTCCTAGATAAGGTGTGAAACAGAAGACGATGCAGATAAAGAAGTTAGAAAGAAAAAGAACTAGCACTAGGGACCCGAAACATCAGGTTGGACACTAGGTTCCTCTGTGATTAATGAATTCTGAAAACAACATTTCATTTAGGTCAAAATTTGCTTCATGTAATAACATCTAAAATTAGACCTAAAACCGGTTATTTAATATGGCTGAATCAATCTGACTATATTAGGTTATAACAGCAAAAGTCATTTTAAAGGCTTAGATCACGTAGAAATAGATCTTCAAGCTAACAATTGCTTTTTGGCGTCTGTTAGATTTTTAAAAATGTTTTTCAAATAAGTCACTTTTCGCTCAATATTCCTTAATATATTCATGGAAACCATGACACTTTTTTTTTTTGATGAATAGAAAGTTCAAAAGAACAGCATAGAAATATCTAACTTTTGTAACATTATTTTGTAATATTATAAATGTATTTACTTATGCTTAGGATCAATTTAATGTATCCTTGCAGAATAAAAGTATAAATTTCTTAAAAGCAAAATCTTACTGAACGGTAGTGTATAAAGTTGACATTGTGCAACACAATATAGCATCAACGCCTGGGTTACAATATGGAATTTAGATGAGGAAAAGCACCTTATCTTCTTTGAGTGTGCGTATACTGGCCTCCAGCTCCTGTAGGATCTTGTCTTGCTCACATAACCTACTAAGCTTAACCTGGGGAGACAATCACAAACAGCAATCTGAACTGAATCCATTAAAGTATACAAAAATCAAACAGAGGGCCGACGGAAAACATTCTTCCGCTATTCCATATTCAACATTTTCCACTATTGAAGATATCCATTAGCATAAACTCCATGCACCCAAGACAATTTTGGTGTCATTATTTGCAGAAACAAACAGCATTTTCTCAGTGAAAAATGGGTTACAGGGTACGTGCGCGCGTGCGAGAGAGACGGAAGCGGCAGAAGTGTCTTGTTTACGGTCTTCTTCACACTGCCTGTTTATTCTCCACTCTGTTTATCATTCCCTCCAATTAATTATTAAGCTGTTATTATTTTACAGCCATATATTGTTGTTTTAACAACATTAAATATTCATCACACTGATAAATCCACCAACAAAATTCGTATAAATTGTTAAACCGAAACAATGTTAATGATGAAAAGCCAGGACTTCCAGATTATTTACCTCCAATCAACTGAAAAACAGCGAGAGCACTGGAATATAAAAATCAAACTGAAATATTTACACGCCCAAAGTATAAAACTCCCATTGCATGTATTTTTCTCTTTAAATTGAGCATTGAATATAAAAAACCCTCGTCAATAATTTCAATTTCTTCATGACACCGAGAGAGCTTGCTTCTCCCCACAGTGCGTGCAAATTCAGGCTTGAGTAACAGCTTTTTGTGAGAAGCAAACAGAGAGAACGAAAGGGGAGGCCATGATCAGAAAGTGGGCATTAAAAAAGAGAGAAGAGAACTTACATCTATGTCACTTTCAGCTATTTTAACAGGCCGAGGTGGTCGATCTTTAAGAGAGTCCCGTCCAGTTACCTGTTGACAAAATGCAAAAGCTCAAACACTTTCACCAACATTAGCATCCACATCAAGGCTATGTTGGCTGTAAGGTTGCATCGATCAAGCAACCAACAAGACTGCACATTCTATTGACAAAATGTTGCTGAAATCATGTAAACAAACTGTGCTGTGGCAAACTAAAAGAACAAGGCCGTAAAATCTCAAGATGAACAAACAAACAAAAAAAGCATAACAAAACAAACCAACACTGTTTTTGGAAGCTATGAGATGTGTTTACGAAGAAATAGCAACTGGGGTATTTGGGGAGGGCCGCAACGATCCACCCAAAGCGCTGTTCTGTCTTTGGCAAAGTATCAATACTTTCATCGGCAGTGAACTTGACATGAACTCACGTGGGAGTGAATCATTTAGTGATAAACAAGGGTTAGCTAAAGGATACTGCATAAGTAAGAGCAGCTGTCAGTAAACGTTCACTCATTAACAGAAAACCTCAGACTCTAGAATAATTAATGATGCTTAATGTTTGTACTGAAATAATTCACATAATGGTCACAATTACAATGCGATCTCTATGACAAACCCTCATCAGTGCAGTATTGATATTTTACCAAAAGAACAACAACAAAACAAAAAAAGCACATGCATATGAGTATGGCTCCACAGATCATGTGCAATGCACACAACGATGGTCACATTTTGTGCACACGCCATCCTTACATTCAAACAGAACGCACTGTGTACCGAATAGATGAGAGGTTCAATACTTTTCATCTGTTTGAAATGAAGATAAAAAGGGTTTCTGTGAACTGTAGGTATAAATGTAGGCATACATTGGAAATATACATTTGAAATATGAATGATTAATTAAAGCAAGTAATGCACTCCACTTCAAAGAGGGTCGGAAAAGTCAGTGACCATAAAGTTTGTGACAAAAGCGGAGAAACTCTATATAAGATATATAAAGGCTACTAGGGCTGCACGATATATTGAATTGATCAAAATATTGCATATGTTCAAATCGTGATTTGCATATTGCAATGGCTTTATGAAAAACCTGGTACATTTAGCAATATAGCTGGTGAATTATGTATATGATGTACATTACAATGTTATGATGAACTATATGCCTTTCTCCACTGACGTTCTGATGATCAAGGCCTTTCTTAGGAGATGTGTTTTAAGGGATAAAACGATTGACTACAGGGGGACACATCACATAATCGCATTATTTAACAAGTTACTCTATATCACATTTTTCTTCAATATCGTGCAGCCCTAAATGCAACTGATGCCACTGCACATACTGTACTGTCATCTGACCTTCAATTGACAAACTCTCCTCCTGGACTCTTAACATTTGCAGACATCACTAGTCACTACACCCATGCATCCGCCAAGACTTTTATAGCTAAATTGCAGCATAAAATCAGATTTTTAGCAATAAAAGCTTAAAATGACGCATTGCTCTCTGTGAATATTGACTGATGTAAATGTAATCATCGGTTTCAAAATTCACTCTACACATCCTTCAGGGTTAAAGAGCAGAGCAGCCGTTACAGAGAACAAGGAAGGGGAATAAATCAGGAAGAGTTTATGCCTTGAGGAGAGAGGGAGAAGATGGGCAGAGGAAGAAGGTGAAGGCAGGTCCACTAAAGCCCACCTTCAGGTCTAGATACTCCAGGTCCTTCTTCAGCTGGATGTAAGTGTCATCTGCCTTTAAGTGGGAAATGAAGAAAGAGGTCACATGACTCATGGCTAAGAGTACATCATTCAAGAGTGAGACTGATTTTCATTGACACTGTAAAATGCTGATACATTATAACACAAGTGCATGTTATGGGTGATTGACCCATTTTTTTTATTCCTATATTGACAACAAGCATCTTCAATTTGTACTCGGGCTGATGCACTGTTGAAGGTGTGCCATAAGTTTATTGAATAAATAAATGATTTGTTTCTTCACTCTAAAGGTCTATACTTATTTAGAGCATGCATTTTTGTAAAGATGTGATTTAAGAAAACATGAATTGGACCCCTTTTACACAGAGTGCAAAAATCTGTGTGCAGTAAACCATTTTATAACAATGCTGTACATGTTGTAGAATACTAGTTAAGTTTTAATGCGCGACCCTGCAACCGACAGAGATCTAGAGTGTGGAATGGGAATGGGACACAGCTTATGTGTTACTATTAACCAAATGTTTATACTAATTTCTGAGTACCTTTCTGACACATTTCATATATACAATTCCATATACACAAGTAAACCAGTGATGTTTTTTATATTTTCTGTTCATGGCAACATTCAATCATGTGAATGCAGGCAAGTCAACAAGCAACATGCTGTTAACATCTGAGAAGCAATCTGAGGATCCAAAATACAAGAGAGGAAGAAACTACAAAAAAAAGTCCAAAAAAAGCAAAATGCAGAGGAAAGGTTCTTCAAAAACACTAAACAGGCTGTTACGTCAAATTGTGCAGCCCATGCTAACGGAGAGCTAACACCAAACCAACGCAATCACAACTAGAACCAACAGCGCACAACTTTAAAGATGAGCACAGAATGGGGGTTAAGGAAAGGGGGGTATGATATGCTCAGGGTGGGTTGAGGGGGAAATGACCCTCTAACCTGCAAAATGGGCCCTGAGAGGCCGTTGTGCTGGTTCTGCAGGTGTGTGAATGTGTCGCTGTGCACGCTGGCCATCTTGGCCTGGTGTCTCCTGAGCTGGATGAGCAGCAGGGTCAACTCCTCCGGCTGCAGGACAGCGGGGAGACGGGAAAGAAAGCACTTCAGGAGGTGACCACCAGGGCAGCGGTGAGATGTTGTGAAATTTGGCCAATAGGAGTGGCGAAATGTAACTGCCAGGCTACAACGGCATATCTCAGATCACTTTCTCAAAACTAGAAAGCAAAACGCTCCTCGTGGCCGAAATGTGATCTACCAAGCAGATCTTCTGTTTCCCTGTGTTTCTAAGATAGGTCTGAAAAAGTCTGTTCTTTATGGAAGTCTTACCGTTTTTCCATGAAGACTTGGTGCACTGACTGTGTGTGTGATGTAGCCCATCATTGGCATGGATCTCCTTTCTATTTGCGAGGTCTGCAGAGACACAAAATTATACAGAATGGTGGCATTGATAATGACAATGAAGAAATTCACAGTCCACTAACTACTATTCTCAAATTCTCACTTTTAGTTACGGATATACTGTACATTTTTGAAGTCAAGTAAAAGTCAGTTTCAAAAAACTAGGGCTCAGCAGAGCACATTTTACTCATTCATCTGTTTCTTTTAGTTAAGAAAGTGTGTGCTTGATTTCAAATGTGCCACAGGGCTTTGAGGGTTTGACAGTTTTGCTTAACATACAAAATTCTTCATCTAGGCCCATCATAGCACCTCAAAAGGACACAAACAACAAGAGATTTAATTAACTACACATAAATTATCTCCAACCTGCTTCCTTAAAATAACATTTGTTTGCTACCAGCAGAGTAGCACTGTAGACTCTGTTTCCAATGTGAATCCCACGGCACTGCATTTTTGCTGTATAATAGGTTTTTTATTTAAATACAAGATCAGAAGAAAGAGACCACTGCTAAGGCGGTTTATTGGGTGCTTTGCTTAGCCTTTGGCGAATCTTATCAGCTAAACAGTCTAGTGAGCCACCGTGGAGGTCTATAAAACCCCTCTACGAAACACACTTTAGTCTTTAAGATGCATCTATAGAGAGGCTTCTGCAGCTGGGTAATTGACATCACAAGTCGAGCAGTGACAGCAGTGTCTTTCTGTGTGATATATTTAGTTTATCTGAAACTACTTTTGGAAAACATCAATTCTCTAATTGTGTACATGCAGTACTTACTACTCCATATTAATTGAGAGATTACAATTCTGTACGTTCAAAAACAAACATGTTCAATATTTTTTTTTAAACAAATATTAAAATACTTTGGGGGGGGGGGGTCACACTGCAGAACTATTTCAACTTGCGTGTTGCGGGGGCAAAAAAAGTGACTAAAATGGTTAAAACTTGAAATGGTCACAAAAGCGACACCACCAAAATAAACACTTTCCATATTAAATTTGATGTATACATTTTATGTACAATACTTTTCAAAAGTTTGGGGTTGGTAAGATTTTTATGTTTTTAAAACGAGTCTCTCATGCTAACCAAGGCTGCATTTATTTGATCAAAAATACAGTAAGAACAGAAACATTTTGAAATATTTATATAATTTAAGATAACTGTTTTCTATTTTGATATATTTTAAAATATAATTTATTCTCGTGATGGCAAAGCTGAATTGTCAGCATCATTACTCCGGTCTTTATTGTCACATGATCCTTCAGAAATAATTTTAATATATTGATTAGAAAAAAAACTGTCTTTACTGTAAATTAAGATAAATTTAATTCATCCTTGCTGAATAAAACTGAAAAAAAAAAATGTAATTACTAACACCAAACTTTTGAACATTAGTGAAAGGCACTCATCTCCACTCATTTATATACAGTGGGATTCAAAATTATGAAGAAATATTTAAGATTTCCAAGTCAAAAATCAAACAAGCAAATTTGTCATCGGGTTTTAAACAAACCTGTGGAGTTTGTGCAGCTTAAATGCTGCTGTAAGTAAAGCAAAAGGGGACATTCTAAAATAAAATGATAATTTTTCCACTTAATTTATGCTGATAATTGTTACGTCAATTGTTAATGTTATGCTGGCAATATAATATGTAATGAAACCATAGTGAAAGCATTTTCACTAGTAGTCTCAGATTTTCAGATCCCACTGAGATGTTCTTTGTGGTATCACTACATTGACTGAAGCTGTGTTTTTCTTTCTATCTGTCATTTGACAGCTTCTGTGAATCTTTCTGTTGGAGGCATGTAATTAGTGAGTTCACACGAGTCCCAGCGTATGCAGAGCAGAAGTGGGTGACAGTATGTTAACTTGTAAGAGGCACAGAGGCTTCTGTGACTGTCGCTGCGTGTGAATGTGGGCCTGGGAGCGCTGCTCTCATGTGGGGGGTGTAGCCGGCAGATGCTACTATTTGTCACACAAACAACTTCAGCGACACACATAAACAAAAAACGCTCTCTTTAGACACACCCTCTGCACCTGGGAGTCAAATCCTGAGAGAAGACTGTGTGAATCCTGTCACAAAGTCCAAATCAAAGCCTGAGTAGAGAGAAACTCAGTTTTCCCATAACCCTTCACGCCTTTGGTGGTCAAAGCTCCTGTGGTCTGAACAAAGAGAAGAACTTTCCACAACTAATTTAAAATTGTGAGATTATGTGAACTGCTCCATGTTCCCTACCTTTGAGATCTGGGAACATATTCCTCTGGGAGAACCCAAACTGGGTGTGTCCACGGTGGCAAGATCATCCAGCGGGCGCACCGTCACCCTGTCGGAGGGCGTGTGGGGCCTGCGTGGGGACAAGGACCTGGAAGGGTGCCCGGTTGGGGTCATGTCACATGGTGATGGTGGCACAGATATGGATCGTGGCATTTCCAGAGTGACCCTGAAGCCAGACGTGTCCATGTAGTCAGGCCCGGTGTAGATTGGCGCGGTGGGGCTTCCGTGGCGGAACTGTTGGCGCTGCTGCCACTCGTACAGCTGCCACACCATGCCTTCTTTAGTGGCCATCCTCTCGTCAGTGGACATACGAAAGTGACTGAGACGGTCGTGGGCGTACTTGTAGTCACTAGGCAGGTTGCGGGGCACTGGGGGGGAACTGCCTCCGGAGTGGTGGCGAGTGGTCTTTGGCAACGACTGGTACGTATCCATCATGACGGACTTAGGCTGGAGAGGAGGTGTCCGTCTGGGTAGGGTGTACTCAGCAGTGGGATGGCTGTAATTTAAAGTTTTTTACTGTTAATATTGATCCCGGTCAATTAGCATACATATGCAATACATACACAATATTTATATAAAAACATTATTATTATTTTCCCTAAAATGTTTTTATTCTGAGCTGAGAAACACTTTGAGCTGCAAATTAAAGTATTATTAATATTATTAATAATATATTCATATTTTATGTCTCATATTTGATATATTTATTATTCTTCCTATTCTTATTCTAATTTATTTCACTAATAAAAATAACACAAATAAGAACATATTTTAATATGTTATAGATATTTAATATTTGAAAAACTTAAAAATATTTAATATATGCTACAGATATACAATTCAGAGAAAAAAACCTTTAGGGAAAGTTCTGTTTAATACAAAGACGTTTTTTAAAGTATTCTAGACTAGAGGATGGTTCTTGTGAGTGCAAAAATTTAAATGTAATTTCATTTTGAGCTACAAATTAAATTAATAATAATGATAATAATAGCATTTAATAAAATAATACTTGAAAACATAATATTTAATTTTTATTATTATTAATATTATTAATATTATACATAAAATATAATAAAATAATACACTGTATAACACAATTGTAAAAATAAGAATATAACTTAATATATATATTATAACCAATATACAGTATATTATAGATATAGTTAATATATATTGTATATATATATATTTTTTTTTAAAGTTTATTCTAGAGACTGACTCTTAATGTAAGTGCAATAATGTAAATGTAATTTCGGTTTTTGCTAACTTAGGGAGATGACATTTGTTCAGTAGTAACCAAAATCCTGTTGCTAGAACTACTGAACACAAAACATTCCCTTTAATATTCAGTGCGTTTTTATCACAACCACTAGAGGGAGCTCCTTTATAAGAAGCAACCATATGGATACAGAATCCCACAATGGCTCAAGTCCTCAATGTTACATCATTTAATGAGCTTATTACACATAACCCTGTATGATTTCCTATCATTTCCCCCCATCACAGCACATATAAGGGTGTCTACGCAAACAAAACTGACCTTTTGGGGTCTCCTTTCTGCACCTTCACCCAGTGCTCGACCTGAGCCAGCGCAGTTTTCCTTTGTACCTTTTTCTCTGTGTCTGTACGGGGGACGAGACCCCTCTTATACACCACGTTCCCATTCTGATCAGGGGGCATGCCTGAGGAGGGCAGCCCGTTCCTGTGAGAGGGCACCGTGGACGACGGGCGAGAATGGGCACCTGATTGGGAAAGCCCCTCCATCTCTCCAGGGGAAATGGTTTTAACAGAATCCTCCAACACTTCCTTGCTGTAAACATAGCACTCGTCCCCATCCCGCTCCGGCCTCAGCTCTGCCACCTCTACATGCAGCGTCTGCTGGAGACCCTCGGTCTGGGAGGAGCTTTTGATGCTGCTGCTGAAATGGTTGGTCTGAGGGACTGCGTGCTGCTCGAGTTTAGAGCTTCTTTCGGCCTCTCTGTGGAGTGAAAGGGAGTCATTTGTTAAAGGGAGTAGATTGTTAAATACTCTGAATGGCAAACATTAGTATTTTAGATTTATATGTACTGTTGTGTGTTCTTATTTCATTTATTTGTTTTGTTTTATATTGTGGTGTGTATTTTATGTATATGTCTACTACGCTGTGTCCACATTGCCCGCAAGTTATCTTAATAAAGTTGAACTTGATTTAATAGTAAAAAAAAAATATATAGTTAATATTTAACCTTCAAAATGACCTGTGACTTATTGCTGATGTATACTAGGAAGTAAAACACAGAAATGAGTTTAGACTTTTGAATTAATTCTCATAGAATCTACAATTCAATGTGTTGATTTAATGTGCTGATAACTGACCTTGAACTGACTGTCTCTTTCTTTCGTGGAACATCAAAAGAAGATTTTAGCATTATATCTGAGCTGCTTTCTTCTACAAAATGAAAGAGGAGGGTACAGGGACTGTCACGCTCCAAAAAGGACAAAAATGCACCATTAAAGCATCATAAAAGTAGCCCATATAACTCATACACTATCTATTTTATACATATTTCAGAATTCAATACGGTGTTCCTAAATTTGGAGTTTAGAATTTATGTTTTTGAAATAAGACTGCAAATAAGGCTCAACAAGGTTGTATTTATTTAATCAAAATTCAGTAAAAACAGTAATATTGCAGAAATATCATTACGACTTAAAAATAACTGGTTATTTATTAATTATTAATAAATTGATATAATATTTAATATAATTTATATATTATAATATATTATAATATTATAATATATTATATAATTTATATAATATTTTTAATAATTATTTTATAATTTATTCCTTTGATGGCAAAGCTGAATTTTCAGCATCATTACTCCAGTCTTTAGTGTCACATAATCCTTCAGATATTATTCTAATATGTTAATTTGGTCATTAAGGAACATTTATTATTATTATTATTATCAAGTTGTGCTGGTTCCTATTTTTGTAGAAACAGTCTTGTATATGATTACTCTGTGAAGAAGATGAAATGCAAGAAACGAAAATATGCCTTGACATATTTTCCTTGAATATGTTTGACAACTGTGGTCACCATTGACTTTCATTCCATGGAAAAGAGCAGCTTAAGCATTCAGCAACCCTAAATCTTTTTGTGCTCAATGGAAGATAGACAATTGGTTTCAAAAGACACGTGTAAATGGCAATATTCATTACCAATATTCAAAATAATTTTTTGGATGAGCTATTCCTTTACGTCACATAACCTGATAATTAAGTATAATTTGACCAGATATGGCATAATAAATCAATAATTTAGCACAATTAACTCATTTCAGCGACTTATTTGCTTTATTAGATCAGACCAATGGTCAGCTGCATAAAATTAAGAAATTATTTTAAAAGTCAATATTTAAAACACATTCGTGAAACAAACAAAAAAAAGGAGATCTGAAATGCATCAAAACACTTCACATGCGATATTGTGAAAATATCCCTAGATGGTGCTGTTATTTTACATTCAAAATCTCCCTCAAATGAACCAAGGGCCTATAGCAGAAGGTCAATTAATTACAATACAGTACAGCAGCAGCACTAACTGGCATTTTACTCCTCGTCATGATCAGACACGATGTCTGGCATCAAAACGACACAAATAGTAACACTGCCAACAATCCACATGCTTCTGTGAAAGCCTTTGCCTACAAATTGCAACAAATACAGCCACTACACTAGTCCAACCAACCATAAGCAACATTATAAACCACCTTCATGGTTATTAACCACCTACTCCTCTTTTTTATGTACACTATAAAAGCCCAGCGATAAGGAAAGCCCCAGGGACAAAGCCTCATGTAAGAGAAGAGCATGGGGGAAGCACACTAGCATCACCCCCAGTCTGAGTGCTGTGTTTGGGCCGGCGGCCCACAGTCAGCAGCGTGCCGCAGTGATACTCCCTCCCCAGAGCTGCAGTGTCAAAGTGTACACAACTATGGCACTGTGCCTTATGCACCAGCTCAAAATCAGCAGGTGAGTGAGAACCCCACACTGCTTTTGCTGTACCCCTGATCTGTGGATCAGACATGAGCTTGAATCACTACAACACATCTACAGTTTATGAATGCCATGAGTCCTTCGAGTGACTTAAAACATTTTTATTTGTTTAAAATAATATAATAAAGTTTCTTTATTTGGATTCAAAATTCACATCTTAAAAAGGATCCAATCATTTTTGGGGACAAAAAAAAAATCATCCCCAAAATGACTTTTTAAAAAGTTGCTGTGTCACATACACAAGTCAGCACAAAGAGTAAAGCTGCAGTCACACTGAGTGGACAAAATTACTTAATGCAAACCATGCAACCTTTGAATTCGTCGTGTGCTTTGAATTCAGCCAAAAGGTTAATATGTGATGTTTAATTTTAGATGTGGTTTAGGTCCGCTGTAAGACTAATAACTTTGTGCTATGTAAATTTGCAGGTCAGATTTCACCAAAATTTGGTACACATTGAAAGATAACCATTCTTTGAATTGACTTGTGTTGCCAGCCTCCTGAGTAAGAAATGAATAGAGCACAAAGTCAAGGGTTAAAGTCAAGCTTTAACCTTGATCGTCGGCTGATATGATGTCATTGGACTGCCTCGAGATCGATTGTATGTTCCAAGTAGTGCAGAAACCAGTTGAGACAACTTCAATTCTGTTGTGCATGAAATAATAGAAAATATCAATCCTCACATTACATAAAGACGCGTAAAAACATATAACATTAAACATTAGGTGACAGTTTAATGAGGGTTTAATAGAGGAAGTTCTAGAACAGGTGGAGAGAAGAATTAATACTCTACTGGGTTAGTGCTAGTTCTTAAAGAAAACATGAAATGGCTTTCATAATGTATTTATCCTTCTAATGTGTCATATTTCCGAGACAGAATAATGTAAGGTCTTTGTAGGGACAAAATCCATTGGGGTTTGACTGGACCATGCAGGACTGAAAAATATTACACTGATATATTTGGGTAATATTATTTTTCTCAAACCATGCAGCCCTGGCCATGTAAGATATAAAAAAAAAAATTAAGTTGTTTTAGAGGCCCTTTTTAATAAAATAAAGTGCACTGCAATGAATCCATTAAAGATTGTATCAATCTACTATACTTTTGTATTGTTGATGTATTTTAGATGATATTAAAATGCAACCAAATTACATAAAATACATTTGCTGCCTGTGGTTCCTAATCTGTTTTATGTCTGGCAAATACAATTATTGTTTAAAAAGAAGTAAGGGTTATCCTACAGTTTTTAATAGAATATATTTCCCATAGATTTTAAGACAGCAGCCCTGAGAGAAGAGTTGTTGCAGCAGCAGGAAGGGACTGACCTCTTCACGCCATGGCTTTGCATCAGTGCGGACTGGTTCATGGCCCGGATCCAGCCATTCATGTCCTCTTGTGTGTCGGCGCTGAAGAAGTATGTCCTCATGCCACAGTGCTCGGCCTGCGAGCCAATCAGAGAATTCTTATTGTAAATGTAGGAGCGCATTCCCGTGTGGCAGGCCTGAGGGAGAGACAGAGATACAGAGGGGACCATAAGCTTTGGCCACGGAGGTTACACGTGCATGTGAGGCCCCGGACCAGCGGGTGCCCAGTATTGCTGTGACAGCATTACTGTCATTGTAGCAAGCTCAGACGTCATGCTGAACTGCCCTGTTTATTTTGTTGATCTGAGCATAGGAAGAAGATTACCAACCAATGATAACTGCATTATCATTGTTACAAATATTTCCATGCACTTCTGTCAACTGATCTGCACTAGTGCAACAGGTACAGTGCAAGCATTTGAGACTTTTTTGTTCAAGTAATTGTTGTACTACAGTCAGACTACGCTTCAGAAAATGGAAGCACAATATGCTTCAGAGTATTAAAAAAAAATTTGTGAGAAAATGCAATATAAACTTTATACTTATTGAGATAGAAAGTCACAATTGTGAGATGAACGCGACCATTTTTGGTCAGTAAGATATTTAAATGTTTTTGAAAGAAAACGGAAAAAAAGAGATTTCGGCTTTTTTCGTTTTTTAGTTCACAGGCAAAAAACGAATACATGACTTCAAAATTCGTTTTCCATATGTGGGCGGTCATGAGACGCCCCCTTCCGCTGATTGGTCAAGTAAATCTGAGCATGTGACGTCATCAATCGTCGCCAAGGGGGTAATCCATCAGCCGGAAGTTGAAGCTGCCTCCGGGGGCCGCCATTGTAGCTGGCTATCACCTGCTGTTAGCATCCCATTGACTCACATTCATTTTGGCGTCACTTTGACAGCGAATAACTTTACATCTGAGGCGTCCAAAGACTCCATTTGTCCATTATTTATTTCTTAAGAAACACGACAATGTATAAAAGGCTCCATTACTTTGTATCTTACGTTATGGCCCCGTAGAAGCCATTCTTGTAAAAATAGGCTAACGATTGTGTCATAACCACGGGACGCTCTGTCGCACAGTAGAGAAATGACCGTATAGACAGAAGTAGAAGCTCCTAGGCAATCGTTTACTGTCTATGAGGCAATCGGGTGGACATGGAGGCATAAAGTCAAGGGAGAAGACCATAGATAGAGAGTTCATAAAAGCAACGGGACAAAATATTTCAATAACAGATTTGTTTCAGATTTCAATTCAGATTTGTCCCGGCACAGCTACTAGAAGGTCAGAACGGTTGCTCACGTGACAACTACGTCGTCAAGCTCAGTTTGAGCCTGCGCAGAACGCTTGGCTATCAGGAAGTGAGTGCCCATGTTGGGCTTTAACTCTCTCCGTTGAAATCAACGGGGTCACTGTGTCCATTTCTTTTACTGTCTATGGTCGTCGCTCAGGTCTGTTCAACACATAGAAATACAGGCTGATGGTCGACCTGCTGGGCATTGCTGCCTGACGCACCTCCACCAGTGCCTTTTGTGCAGGTGTGCTCCACCTCTTTGGGTATAAAACGGGTCATCAGCTGGGGACCACCAGTCATGGATGTTTCGCTCCTTTAACCCCAGTACATCTCCTGGTGGCGGAGCAATGGCAGGGATCACTCCCTGCCACCCCCTGCTGATGCCCTAGGTTTTACTTGGCCCCCATCCCCTATGCTTCCTCCTTAGCCAGAGCCAAAAGCTGCCCCTCTCTGCCTCCTCTGCCAGTTCTTTAATAGCTTTTCGACACCCTGCTCCTGTACATCCCATTTCGCGGAGCAGGCGAACCGTTGAGGACCCAACGAAGCCCCTACATCCCACTTCAACGGGGCACGTGGTGGCTTTCCAGCCAGCCTCTCTGCAGTCTTCTACCAGATCTGCATACTTGGCACACTTCCGCTCGTTGGCAGCCTCCATTCCCTCCTCCCATGGGACAGTAAGCTCCACCAACAAGATGGACTTGCATGACTCTGACCACATGATCAGGTCTGGCCGGAGCAAAGTTTCTACGATCTCCCTGGGGAATTGGAGCTGCCTCCCCAGGTCGACCCTCATGTTCCACTCACTGCCAGATGAGAGGACTCTAGATGTTGCTCTCTGGTGAGGGTGGTTGATTTTCTCTCCGGCCCTTGCAAACAGGATGGGACTTCTCGTTGGCTCAGAAGGTCTTCTATTAGCTTCCTGTCTACATGACTCTGCAACCTCTGCTAGCTTCCTCAACACCAGATCATGTCGCCACCTATAGCGGCCTTGGGACAATGCTGTCTTGCAGCCCGAAAGGATGTGCTGAAGGCTTGCATTGCTGGTACTGCAAAGGGGGCAAAGTTCTTCAGTGCCAAACCACTGATGGAGGTTTCTGGGACAAGGTAGGGTGTCATAGGTAGATCTAATCAGGAAGCTGAGCCTGGCTTGGGGGATCTTCCACAGATCAGACCATGACAAATGCCTGTCTGTGACGCCTTCCCATGACATCCAGCCTCCCTGCCGGCTGGATGTCTGAGACACCGCCTTGATGTTAAGGCGCTCCTGCTCAGTCCTTGTCACTTCTGCCACCACCATGGCTCTCCGCTCTTCTTTGGAGGCCTTTGACCAGAAGAGGGGGGTCTCGCTCCTCCCAAGGCCTGCTCGACCCTCCTGGACTCTGCCGACTATTTCACAGTGTTTCAGCCTGCTAATTGCCATGTCAACCTCTTCCTGGGCTTTCCACTTCCTCCCTGTTTGTATCTTAGGGCCAGCTGCTCTCACCAGTCGATCAGTGGATTCCCTCAGCTCCAGCACCATCCAAGCCTTCTCCTGCTTGTAACCCAGGCCAATGGATCGCAGTGGCAGCTGTAGTGTGTTCCTGCCAAAGAGGCCTACATCTGATAGGCATCTTGGCAGACCCAGCCACTTCCTGATGAATGAGTTTGCTAGTCCATCCATCTTGTTTGCCACCGAGGAGGGAACTTCGCTCATCTTCAGAGGCCGCATCACCCTTGGGTACAGTATGAACTGGTAGCTCCATACTTTATACTTGCCGGGGAGCTGGCTCTGATTGATCCTGGCGAGGCCATCTGCGAGCTGCTTCCTCACTGTTTCCCCCATCTGCCTATCAGAGAGGTCTGCTGTATAGATACGACCCAGGCTACGGACGGGCTGATTTGCCAGCAAAGGAATTTCTTCACCGCCTGCGACAAAGATGGTATGGTCATTTCTAACCCCTTTTCTGAGGGACAGGCTGCGTGATTTGGCGGGTTTGATCTTCATCCTCGCCCACCCCACAAGCTCATCAATCCTCTTCAGCAGTCTTGTTGTACAAGTGATGGGGTGGTGATGGCGCAGTGGATAAGACACATGCCTTTGGTGTGAGAGACCCGGGTTCGAATCCACTGTGAGACACCAATGTGTCCCTGAGCAAGACACTTAACCCCTAGTTGCTCCAGAGGCGTGCGACCTCTGACATGTATAGAAATTGTAAGTCGCTTTGGATAAAAGCGTCAGCTAAATGAATAAATGTAAATGTACATGCTGCTGTCTGAAGAATGGTGGTAATGTCGTCCATATAGCCTCTCACTGGTGGTAGCCTTTGGCCTGATGGTAGCTTCATACCTTCAACCATCACCCTTGCCCCCATCAGGATAATCTCGAAGGCTGCTACAAATAGGATGGGAGAGATCGAGCATCCCATGGCAATGCCTACTTCCAGCTGTTGCCAGCCTGTCGTGAAGTCCTGATGAGTGCAACACATCTTGATGTCCTCAAAGTACTTGGCCACCAGGGCACGAATGCAGTCAGGGATGTAGAAAAAGTCCAAGGCATACTCGATGAGTTGGTGGGGGACGGACCCGTATGCGTTGGCAAGATCCAGCCACACCACATGCAGGTCAACTTTCTCTCTCTTTGCTCTCTGGATCTGCTCCCATATGACTGCAGAGTGTTCCACGCACCCTGGGAACCCTGGCACGCCTGCCTTCTGGCAGCTAGTGTCGATGTACCCATTGCTTATGAGGTAGGGGGTCAACCTCTTGGCCAGGATGGAGAAGAAAATCTTGCCTTCTACATTCAGGAGTGCAATGCTCCTGAACTGGCTAATGGTGGTAGAGTTTGTTTCCTTCGGGATGAACACTGTAACCGCTCGTCGCCACTCTGAAGGGATGACCTTGTTCTTCCAGGCCACTCTCAGGAGGTTCCACAGATGTCTCAGGACCCCTGGGCAGTACTTGTACAGCTTATACGATATCCCATTGAGGCCTGGAGCTGAGGCTGCTCTCGCTTTCCGTACCACTTCTGCTACCTCACTGAGTCTGGGGAGATCAGTGTTAAACAGGGAGGATGGGGGGGCTGGACGAGGAACGTAACCTGGTGATCCCAGCGGCGTCGACTTCTCTGGGTCACTGTACTGCTCCCTGATGAAACTTTCCAGCTGTGATTGTGTGATCTCCAGCTTCCCGTTTCTCTTTTCCTCCAGTAGCTGTCTCGCATGCTTGAAGGGGTTTTTGAAGAAGTTGCTCCTCTCCTTCTCCTTCTGCCTTCTGCGTTTGCGGATGCGCTCTGCCCTCCGAAGGCTGGCTAGGTTCTTCTTCACCTCCTCCCACAGTGGCTTCAGGCCCTCCTTCTCCTCTTTGCTTGCCTTCCTTCACTGCTTTCGGAGCTGACGCAGCCTCTTTACCAGTTGCTCGATCTCTCTCTCCCTCCTCCCGCTCTGCTTTAAACCCTTCTGCTTCTCAGCCACTACTCCGAACCTGCTTCTGCACTCCTCGTACAGGATGTCTCCAATGCGATTCAGCTTGGTTTCCACCTGGCCACGCAGTGATTGCTCCAGAATTAAGCTTAGGTCTTCATCGAGCTGCTGCCACACAGCCACCTCATTTGCTTTCGGCCATTTAACTAGCTGCCTCCGCCCAGGTTCGTTCCTCTCTGGCCTCTGGCCTGGCTCCTGATTGCTGGGGTTTAATGATGATGGTTTCCTAAAGGTGTTTTCTTGTGTGCCACCCTCAGAGGAATACATATCAACCAAAGACTCTCCTGTGTCCTCTTCCTGCCTTCCCTCAGCAACGTTGGAACCCTCAGTGCTGTGGTTAGTGACCTGGCTTTGGGCTCCTCTTGTCTGACCTGCAGTTGCAGA